ATATTCTGTTTATTTGTTAAATAATATAGTGTTTTAACAAAATCTTTATAAAGACTTTTATAGGTTTTAGTAGAAAAATTATTTAAAGAACTATATTTTCTAATTAAATTAATAGTATGATATACTTATTAATATAATTTTGGATACTTGAATTCTAAATAGTTTTGAAAAATAGTAATAAATTGTTAGGTCTAATCTATTATTAAAATCTAAATAGAATAAATTATATTTTTTATAAATATTTTAAATATATTTAAAGCATAGTAAAATATTTTAAATCAATTCAAAAATTATTGTCAAAATAATTAAATAAATTTTGAAACTATGTAAAAATTTTTAAAATAATTAATAAATAGAATATATCTATAAAAATAATTTAGCAATTTAAGTATATTATACTGGGCCATCTGGATTGGTAGTTTGGAAGAGACTGCTGATTTCAAGTTGCAGCTAGTAGATGATGATGAAGAAGATGTTAAAAAGATAGTACTGAAGTTCTAGTGAACTTTACAAGAATAAAAATAGTGTAATGTAATAGTTAAACAGGTAACTTTTGTGACTGCAAGTGTTAAGTAATCATAGTGTGTTGCATAAAGCTAGATTTATATATGTGGAACATAAAGGCTCTAGTAAGTTTCCTGTCAAGGATAAACTAGTCCTAAGAGTAATAACAAGCATCAGGAACTTGGATGAATATAGCCTTAAGATGTTCTCATAATACAAAAAGGATTGCATATACAGAAGGTTTAAATAGACAAGACCCCTAGTTGGTTTACAGATATGGCAACTAGTATAGAACTTATATAGCAATATATAAGCAGATTATTTAAATTAGGCACCAAAAGTGCACATGTGACTAGTTGTAACCTTTAATGTAAAATAAGCCCCTAGTGGCATGTCATATCCTAATATACTTAAATAAAAATATTGGATCACCAAGTTAGAAACTTTAACTATAAAAAAAAAATAATAATAATTTAGCAATTTTTATAAATATTCAAGTAATTTTGATAGAATTTAAAAAATTGCAAATATATGATATAATAAAAATATTAAAAAATTTTTCTTATTTCTATGAAATTTAAATAATTATTATAAAATTTTTTAAATCATTATCATTAAATTCTTCATTTTGACTTATAATATACATATTATTTCAGTTTTTATAAACTTTTAATAATTTTTTGTTTAATGTTTCATTATCAATTAGATTATCCAAAACAAATATCATAATCTTTATAAGACTACAATATTCATTAGTTATAAATCTAGTAATTAATTGAATTTTATAATTAAATATTTTAAGTTTCAAATATCTTAGAATATTTGCTAATCTTTTATTTATTTTATTCATTATTAAAGTTCTGTATAGATCTTTCAAAAGATTGCAAGTAAATGTAATTTGATAATTAAATAATCTCAAATCTAAATAATGCATTCTATTAATTACTTTTTTTTTTTTGTAGTTAAACTAGCTTCTTTTGGAGCTAGGGCTTTTTATTTAGTAGTTAGGATATAGAAACTTATAGCTAAGACCTTAAAGAAGTCTCCTTACATTAGAGAGTACAACTAGTTATACATACACTTTTGGTATCTAATTAAGTAGTCTGCTAATAGTTCTATACTAGCTGCCATACCTACAACCCAACTAGAGATGTTGTCTATTTAAACCTTTTGTATTGCAATTCTTATTGTATTACTAGATCATTTCTGCTACATAAGTCAGTTAAGAAGGTCTAGATGTTTATCTGTATTCTTAGAACCTCATATCTTATTTCATGCAGTGTATTTTCAAAAGTATCATTACTAGAGCCTTTTATATTCCACATACAACTAACCTAGTTTTATATAATATGCTATAGTTATCTAACACTTGCAGTTAGAGCTAACTTTAAACTACTATATTATATTATTTCTACTTTTGTAAAGTTTATTTAAATCTTGATACCTATCTTTCTAACATCTTCTTCATTATTCTTTACTAATTGCAACTCAAAACTAATAGACTTTCTAGATTTCTAATTCAGATGGCCTGGTATAATATACCTTAGTATTTTTTTTTTTTAGTGATTCTGATAATCTGGTTGGTCATATGCTTTTCTATATATCTTGTTATTTAGTTTATTCGCTTTTCTTATAAAGATGTTTTATAGGCTTCTATTAGTTTAACAGTACTGTTGAAAGTTTGTGTTATCTCTTTACTCAGGAATTTCCAAGTGGTATTTTATCTCCTTAGTTCTTTAGTCTTTTGTACCTGGTGGTTTTATTATAGGTTTGCACCAAGTCTTATCTCTTAAACCGTCAATTTAAGTATACATATTTGTACGCTTAAATTGTTAGACAAACTAAAAACTATAAAAAAATTTTTTTTTATATAAATTTCCATTTAAATCAACTAGAACTATTCCTGAAGATTTAGGTCAAGTTGCACACTGCACAAATATGGTGTCGCACAAGTCAAGTGACCTAAACAGGTAAAATAAATCTGCGCTATGGCAGTGAAGTAAGCTTTTTTGTCCAAATTTTCCAAAGCCATCTTGGCATATTCTGCTTAAAACCCATTATTTTTTACAACTGCAATGTTATAAAGTACCCTTGTACTTTGTAACAATAGCATAGGGAATGGTCATATGCTTATCAGTGTTCATAATCGAATTAATTTATTGACCAAATTATAATGCAATTACGAGCTATTTAATCAAAAGTTAAAATAATAAGATGCGACGTAAATAATTATAATGTAGTGCGAGAAAAATACATATATATAATACAAACCGATTAAAAAAAAAAAAAAAGCTACAAAGCCTTATTCTTACAAATTTAAAGTTGATTACTTTGGAAGCATTTTTGATAAATACACGTAAAATGTATACAAAGTCAATTAGCTTGAGTTTCAATTAAATAAAGATAAAAATGTTTGCTATTCTTCAAGAACAAAACTCTGAAGTAATAAGCACGAGTTTATAAATAAATAATATGTCACAATTTTCTAACAAAATCATTCCTCCATAAGTATATCTTTATTAAATTTGTGTGTTTGATTTAGAATTAGTTTTTTGTACATACATAGTATGTTATTAAAAATGCCTTACCAGATAATTCCAAATTGCTGAATAGAATTATGCTTTAGATTAATGTTTTGATGTTATTTGCATCTTCACTAGTGTTTGACAACCTATCATGACCTCTTCTTTAATTATTAATGTGAAATTCCAAAAAACAATTTCGCTTTGCATTACAACAAAGTGGCACATCACACTCCACATACCAAAAGTTACTCTGATTTGGAGATTTGCGATTCATCTCTAATTTTTGTTTATTAGCCAGCCAGGAACACCACTGACACACTTCCCTTTTTTCTTTTCTCCACTTAACAAAATGGTTTCCTGATACAACCGATGATTGGAGAACTTGGAATTTTTTGTCATTCTTGTTTTTTTTACTACTGTTTTTTTTTTTTTGATCTTGCCTTTTTCTCAATTGAATTCTACCACTATTATTAGCAAGATTAATGAGTTCCCAAACAAGTTCATGATGGAATTCCTTGTGCTTTTTTGTTGATCCTTGAATTCTGGTGATTTGGTAAGCATTGATAATAGCAGTATCAAGAAGCCAAAAAAAAAAGGCATCCAATTTCTTCTTACTGTTTTTTGTGTACTGTAGTATGATCGCATTTGGTCTGCAATGTCCACACCATTCATGTGACAGTTGTAGTCATCAATAATTTTGGGGATTTTTAAAAATTTTTTTGATTCTGACCCAAACACTGCACAGACTTTAGCTGCATTGGTACTGGTTTCTCTTGGCTGTCACCTTTCATGCATTATCTCCCATTTATCACCAACAAGACTATGAACCATTGTTAACATTGTAACAGGACCATTGTCCTGCCAGAAGACTGCCATTACTTTATTTATTATTATACCAGAGTGAACATCCCAGTTAAGTTTAATATTTCTATTCACCTTCAACTTTTTTGGAAATCCGGAGGCAGTTTTTCGGACAGTTCCACAGGCACTGATACCAATTTGCCAAAGATACTGGTAGAGAAGAACACTAGAAAAATAATTATCCATGTATATATTGTATGAATATTATTGATAAGGAAGCTGTTTAGCAAGATGAAGAACCAAGCACCCAGTTTGATTAATGCTATTTATTTTTTTTACATCATTTGTGAAAATATGTGATGTAGGTAAAAAGGTATATGTAGTTCTAGCATCACAAAGTGACAAAATCTTGAATCCTTCTGGTATTGGCTTGTTTTTTATACGAATTATATGGATGCTTTTACCAGAAAATCAAACCATCATTTCATCCACTGCTACATTAGAGTTTGATATATAAAGACATTTGGAAACATCTCAAACATGAGAGAGCAAAGGCTTTAATTTTTCAAAGTAATGGTTAATCATTTCTGCAGGTGAAGAAATATGTAAATATCGCATAATTTGTTTAAAGCATTTCAGTGTCATTTGCCTTGAAATATGATGGAGGGGGAACCTTGTATCTTCGTTCCAGTATTGTTCAAAAGAAAGGGACTTAAAAAGTCCTTGGTAAATAACTAATGCGATCCATATAATGAGTTCTTTACAGGTTAAGTTTTGCCAGCGCCTACCAAAAGCACTAGCATTTTTTGTTAATGCATATGAATTTGTGTTAACTACTATTGTATCTAATATGTTTATTAGAAAAAAAAAGAAAAATGTCAATTGATTTAACAACTTCATGTTGTAATGGCAGGCGCACAAATGCTTAGTGTAGTGGTTACAAATTAATGTATAGGTCAAAATTGGGTGGCAGAGGAAGCTTTTGTTGTGTAACTTCTGCTGATTTGCATTTTCTTTTGCAGGCACTTGAAGTATCTACTTCTACATAATCATCATTACTATGATCTGAATCCTGGTTTTCCAAAGAAGTTTAGTAAAAGGTTAAAAGCAGCATATATTCCTCCTTACTATCTGAATATTCAATGTCTTCAGTGTCTTCAATGAGAAATAAGGTTGAACTTGAAGCCAATAAACTTGGCCCAGGTGCAGAAAACATGTTTTTTTTTATTTTTTTTTTTAATCGTATGTTAACTTTTTTTTTTTTTATCACGTCTTCATTTTGACTTAGTAAGAATGCTTTATTTGGCCAATTTATTTAAATTCAAAGTGATTCTTCATTCTTCATTTGATAAGTTT